CCCTTCCCTTCCCTTCCCTTCCCTTCCCTTCCCTTCCCTTCCCTTCCCTTCCCTCCCTCTCAATCTGAAGCTAGTACTCTTATTCCTATAGGCACTTTTTCTTCAGCATAGTTTCACCATACCTTTTCATTCATACTTAGTTCCCTTTTCTGTACATTAATGATCATACAGCAGAAAGGCTTACTCATGTCAACTTAGAAATTCTTCTCAATATTTATTTGGAAAGCAAATTGATTGCCTTAGATAAAATGACAATATTTTTAGACTCCTACAAACATATATGTCCTCTCTCTCCTAGAACATGATTATTTTTAAAACAGCCTCAAATAAGGAGCATCTGACACTGGGTAGGGGGAAGGCCACAGTCAACTATGTGAGTGTTGACTAGCATGGCTCATTATTTTCAGTCAAAACGTTGGCGGGATTCACATTACAATCTAAGCCAGGGTCAATATGTCAACCCAGCCAACTTCTTGATTGAAACTAATGAAAAACAAAGCTGCTATAGCAGTTTGAGTTTTTCTCATTCTTGATTACAGAAAGACTGAAGTCTGGTTTTTGGATATCTTCTGATTAGAGGACTGATTCTTACTAAACAATCCCCAGAATGAACTGGGGCAGGCTGGGTCATTTCTGGGTCTGTATCTGGCCCGCAAAGATATGAAGTGCTTTTGGCACAGCCACAATCCTAACAATTTGATGTATTTTAAAGTGGCTTCAAATATCTGCCCTAATCAGTACTATGCAGCACAACCAGGAGGATCCTTATTTCGAGCTATTTTTCTTCCAGGAACCTTGTATGTGTGGTGTGCTTTAATGAATAGTCTAATCAGTAACTATGAACTATTACACTGCTGCATCTTTATTAGGACAAACTTTGAGATACTTGTGTTCCTTGCGATTTGTCAGCCAACATTAAACATAGTATCAATATATCCATCATCAATACACAGCTATTCAGATGAGTTATCCATTCCTGTAAGGTTAATGACCACTCAAACAACGAAGTATCAAGCAACTGCTTTGCTGAAACGTCATACTCATAGCTCAGAGGGTTATACTGTGAATGTGCATAGGTGGAGAATCCTTCTCATACCATCTCCCAAAAAGTGTCACAGTTAAAAGTGCCTGAGAGGTACCATTCTGACTGATCAGTCGTCCATCACTCAAAACCTAGGAACAAATGAAAGGGTTTCAGTGATACAGCAAAATTAGATAAGGTATAAATTTTTCCTACTTGCTGAGTTGAGGCATTTTTTAAAGTAGGGGATTAAGAGAGCTGTAGTTCTTATAGAATATAGGATTCTAGAAGATATTCTAGAATATAGAAGATATTCAGCATAGTTTCTATGCTGTATATACATACTGTGCTGTACGTAGAAACTATGTACTCTTCTACATGCAACTATGTACATGCAACTGTGTACTCTTTTACATACAACTATGTACTCTTCTCTTCTATTGGTAATATAGAAGATCTGAGAGTGATTACCCACATATTTGGATAGGGCTGGGAAAGAATCCAACTAGGAGAGCCACTGCTAATCAGTGTAGATACTACTAAACTGGATCAAGATGGAGAAATACTCTCAGGGGCCCTCATCACTGGACATGTGGGTTAGGGCTGCTGGGAGATTTAATTAAGCAACTTCTATAGATCTACAAGTTCCCCATTCCTGAATTAGATAAATGTGGAGAAGCCACTATTAGCAACAGGATTTTAGCTCTATGTGAGAGAACTATAAGACAAACATAATCTGTTTTGAAGCCATTTGATATGGTTAATGACAAACTATTTACTCACAACAAAACAGTTTAAACATGTGCTTGGTGAAAAGGTTTAGTATTTAGAAAAAGACATCCTACATTGTATATGGCATAATCTAAAATTATAGATTACACTGTACCTATATAACAAGTTATGTAATATTGTATAACTATTTCCTGCATGAAGCGCTTTACTTCACACAAAAGGAAAAGAATTGTTCCCTATCTTCTGCTGCATAGAAAAATATCCTCTTTCATGGCCTTCCCATCTGAAGTAGAGGAAAGATTGGATGGGTGTTGTTTTCCTTTCCTGAACACCTCCCCCCCCACCCCACCCCCAATGTCCTCTGCTTCCTGAGGGAGCGAGGTAGGAAGAACACAGTTCAGTTTCCTACTTCTGATATAAAAAAGTCCAGTATTGTCTTTATGTATACAGGATTTTCTTTTGCTTGCTTATTTTGGTTTAGTGACAACCTTAGATAACGGCAAGATATAAATGCCATACAGGTCAATCTCTGAGCTACACGAATGTGACCCATTTAACAGTGTGTGGCCTCCACACAAACACATAAATCAAGCAAGGCACTCAAGTGAAAGACACAGCAGTGAGGAGCCACATTTTCCTCAGAACTCCATTTTGGCCTCCAAGAGGTGACCAAGACACCTTCTCCTTCTAAGCCTTGTTGAGCACATGATGGGATTTGTTTCCCCACTGCTTCCATTCAAGCCCAGCTTGTTTCACACCAGCCCAACAATATTTGCAGACTTAAGATGGGAAAGACCACCTTACCTGAAACCCTCCAGGGGCCAAATGAATCCCACTGAGTAAAACCTCTGGGAAGACGTAGTTTGTGCTAAACGTGCCGCTGAGAGAAAAGAAATCAAAATGGGAACGAGCAGTAGTGGTTGACTGGCCACAGCTCTGAGGGTCTGTACTTCCACACTTCAGCAATGTGCATATCTGGAAGGGGAAGAAAACCAAACAAGGAATGCCTTGAAGAAGTATTCGTTTTAGAGGAACTGGGCTATTAGTAACAGAAAATGAACTGCCGAACCATTGTCTTAATCTCCTCCATAGCAAGGAACTGCTGTGGAACACACCCAAGTGAATGTTGGTGGCTGTGGGAGAAACACTACTGATTATTGACTCAGGATTTGTAGATGAAGGCACAGTGTAAGCATGGCATGAGAGGAGTTCCTGGTGTCATACTGACATATCACAGGGGTTGCAGCTGTATAAATCTCAATATAGTGCTGCTGGATATGTACCAGTTGCTCTCTCTAAAACCGTGTTTTTCAAACTTGACAACTTTAAAATGTGTGGACTTCAACTCCCAGAATTCCACAGCGAGCATGCTGGCTGGGGAATTCTGGGAGTTGAAGTCTACACATCTTAAAAGTTGCCAAGTTTGAAAAATACTGCTCTAAAACAAGCCAGCCAAGCCAAGAAAAAAATGCCAAGCAGTCTGGTGCTTTGTGTGCTGCTCAGCCTCTGCCAAAGAGAAGGGGGATTCAGCTGCCTGAGAAATGCCTTTGCAAGTAAAAAATAAAAAAAGACACCCTTATCCCTCCAAAGCAGTGTGGCATTTACATGCTGGTGAACTCTGCCATTTTTATACTGCCTTTCAAAACCAAAACCAGATTTTCCCATGGCAGATTTTAACAGACCAAAACCATCAAATAAAATTAATACTAAATCACAGCAATTAAGATACATAACACTAAAATGCTAGTCGAATAAAACAATACAATCAGCAGACTGAGTAGTTAACAAGTGTCTAAATAGCAAATGTGTTTCAAATCAATGGGTTTGATTAAAATGGCCAGGAAAATAAACGCCTCTCTGCTTGGTGCCAAAAAGACAATGCCTCTCAGAGCTGTCTGGAGTGCAATAGCATAGAAGCAAGGGAAGGGAAGGAGGGCGGGCGGGCTAGGCAAAGCTCACTGGGAGAGGCTATTCCAAAGTCAGGGGCTACCACCAGAAGGCCCATTCCTGGACAGCTGCATGTTTATTTCATTAAATTAATTTTATTTCATTACATTTGTTATGGCTGCCCACTACAATATACTTTGGGTAGCTTACAAAATCCAAAATTAATGTTGGACCTCAGCCAGGGAGAAAGACCCTATCATCTCAAACACAACTTCTGATTCCATACATTAGTCACCAGGTATAGTGTACAGATGGGCCAACATTCTGTGCAGAACAAATGCCTAGACAGGTCTGCTTTAATAGCATTGGGAGGATCCCCACCCTCTATCCAAACTTTCACGACTCATTGACTCCAATTATCAACACTTCCAGAGACTGTCATCCAAACAGTAATGTATCCTTGCAATGCATTCTTGCATGATTAAATGCCAGACAGCCACCAAAAGTATGAACTAATATATGGCTCATTAATTAGAAACCAAATAATTAAAGGATGAAACTAAAGACTGCTCCTAATCTTATGGCAGGCAATGCCAGCTTCCAATGGACTTCTACTGTAGTTCTGTATCTCCTTGCATGGTAATAAACTTTCCAGAACTCCTTGTGATGGAACATGTCCCTCAATCTTCCCAAGTTCTAGTTTGATTTTTATATTCTCTCAAAATCCCTCTATTTTGATTTTTATATTTTTAATATATTTATTGATTGTTTTTAGCTTTGTTGTATGCTGCCCAGAGCCACCTGTGGTGAGATGGGTGGCTATATAAATTGGTTTAATAAATAAATAATGTTAGAAATTTAGGATTGACTTTTCGTCTTGTTAATAGAAACTTTCATTCATCATGTGCAAGATGATCAATCATTTAAACTAGAAAATTATATCTAAGTTTCCAGTGGGAATAAAGTGCTGAACTTAATCCAGACATCACCCTGCATTTTTACTGGGCATCTAGGCTTTCATCCTTCCCTCCTGCATTTTCCCCCATAAATAAAATAAGACCTGTAAGTAATAATCTCCTTCGGCCACATGAAAGCCATCAAATGCCCCTAGCACATAAAGTTCATCTTCTCGTTGGTCTGTCATCCTGTAGCTTAAATGGCAGCAGAGAGTCTTCTGGCACACTGTAAGATTGCCGGCTTCTTTTGTGAGGTTAGATAAAGTGAATTCATCATGGAAAACAATTCCAGGGAAAGTATGGGTCTCAGGGAATTGTTCAATAGTTGTGGCATACAAGCTCCAGTTAATAGCAGGAAGATAGGTGGGAGAACAAGAACGACGGGAACAGATTTCTGCAACCAAAAGGTGCCCATTCTCCGATTCTGCATCATAATGATATGCTTGGGATCCAGATGGTGTGTAGATACCACTACCTAACAATGACAGGAATAAAAGTAATTGCTTCATCCTGTCCTATCAAGACATGCACATTATTTCTTCTAACCCACCCCAAAATATATTTAACAAAGCAGCCCCCATAAAATACACACGTATAACACTGTAAAAAAGACCAACAAATGTATTTGTATACCCAAGAATTCATCCTATCAGCCTTCTCCTTTCCTTTTTCTACTTTGATGAGCATGAATAGAATGGGAAGAGCCTACATTCTGCTTAAGGAATCAGTAGATTTCTAGGCTCACTCAAAAATTTAAAGACAATTGGTATTTATGATCAGCAACACAAAGGGATCAAGCAAAATTAGACTGTTACTATTTATACACTTAATCATAGATTATTCGTAGAAGCTGAATAAAGAGAAAACAAGACTGTATTCTGTACACTACAGTGATAGCAATGCCTGCCCTCCCCTCTGAATTTCTGTCTGCAGGGACTCCACACCACGATATCTTAATTTTGGCAAGGGTACATTAAGGAAGGTCTCAAGGAAGCTAATTTCCAACCAGCTGGAGATTCTCAGATGTCTAGTGAATGGAAACAAATACCAATCAATCCTTTTATCTCAATCAGTACATTACCTGTCATATTCCTGCTAAGCCTGTGAGTATTAGCTGCCAGAAGATTGACCTGCATGGCCATGGCCCAAGCTGAATGGAATTCGATAGCAGTTAAATGGGGGAGGACGTTCATCCAGGCTGTAGGGAAAAGGATGGTGTCCACAGAGAGCTGGGTAACGAGGGCCACGGCAGGATCATGGAAGAGGATATCGAAGCAAGTGAAGAGGCCAAATTTTCCAAAGGCAGTATCAAAGGTTACAAGTTCAGGCTCTTTAGGGGAGTCAAACTGATGTTCCTCCATAAACAGATTAAACTGTTAAAAGATAACACATTTAGGAAACAGATGAGGTATTTTTAAGTAAACTTATGAACAGCATAACATTTACTTAAAGCCATCCGCAAGTCATTTTAATTGAAACTGAAAGTGAAGCAGATATTTTAAAATAAGAGGAAAAAATCCAGAACTTATTAAATTCAAATTGACCTATTTTTCCTGAACCTCTGGGCCTATTAATAATGTAGCATCAGCATCTACCACAATGAGTAGATCTTCTTTATGTAACTGAGACACACTTACAGCGATCTCCTGCATTTTCATATATCTTGGTTCTGTACTGCTAGTATCTAATTTAAATATTTCTTTTAGGGCTCCTTTTTGGTTTCAACATTGATACAATGTTGATTACATATGTTACATCATTGGAGGAAAACATAATTATTAAATATGTAAATCTGATGCTGAATTGCATTCCAAAACTATTGATATTATGAAGAACTCTGGTTCTGTTGAGACTAGATTCAGCTAAATATTTATTCTAGGTAAGTGGAAAGAAAATGCTTCAGGTGTCAAAGAGTGGATTGAAGACATGTGTTTCTTAGTTCAACTTTCAACTTTCATCTTTATTGATTAGTCTTACAACCATATCAACAAGAATAAGAAACT